AACAGGTAAAAACTTTGAAGGGAAAGTTACCAAAAGTTAACATCAGAATTTTGAATATCAACTTATTACCGTTTGCCTGCAGATAGGGCAATGTATTGCACCTCCCCATGGACCACACCTCCAGTATGCAATAATGCAGGAACCTAGATAAAATAATACCATTACTATTTTCTTAAACTGACAGTATACCAAATAGAAGTTGCTATTTCAACAAACACTCAAAAATGATGAGCTGATCCTAATGATAAGCTGATGCAAAAGTGTCATTTTGTGGGGTGAAAGGACTATTTTCTCCACAACACATTAAATCATCGGTGCAAAGCAATATCTTAATAAATATTTACAAACAATATTGAAATAGGTGCCAATCTACATTTTTAAGCAATTGCCAGCTTTAAATGCCAATTATGCCTAACCTTTCTTATGAAACTGGTATTATGAGTTGCTGTGAGCCTCCTACACAAATAGACATAAAATATATATGAAGTGGGACAGGAATAAAAATGGGCAGTAATTTAATATATTCGCTATAGCAATGATCATTTTTACATTTTTTGACAGAGTTTAAATACCTGTTAGAAATAACTAGTATCTAACACTATCAGCTGAATGAAAACAATCAAAGGGGAAATCCATGCTGCTGTAAAACTAATCCACATTTTCAAAAGGATCTTTTTCTGCACATCATTTACTTAACACATCTTACCAGCATAACAGAATGCAATAAGTGATGCAAAAACGTATTTTGCTTACCACAAAAAAGATGTCCACAGTTTGTTTCAATGGGAAATGTAGCCTGTTGTAAACACACTGGGCACGACATATCAGTATAGAAACGTTGTCTGTCTTCAAGTACATTCTGCTGGAAGAAATGAGAAGTGTCACCTGTTCAAGCAGAGCAAATTGCTGTATCTGCCAGAAGCTGCAAACTAATCCTTATTGCAAGATCTGAAGAAAGTGTTTTTCACAAGTATATTTTCCGGACTTTATTTTCACATAAGAACAATCATACAGTAGAAAATGAAGGGCAGAAACCCAACTTGTTAGCCTACAGAGTCTAAAAAAGTAAAAACAAAACAGTAAGTTAATTAAAGCAATGAGAATATTATATATATAATATTATAATATTATATATTTATTATATTATATATATATATATATATTATATATATATAATATATTTAACTTAATCTGTAAAACCAATGAGAAAACTATCTAACAATGTACGCTGAAAAGGCCTTGTTGGATTAAAAAAAGTCTTAAGGATTTGCCTAAAAGAACCAATTGTTGGGATTCCAAAGTATGGGTGCCACCACACAAAGTTCTTCCATGGGTACTCATTAAATAAATTTCTGACCTAAGGGTTCAAGCAGGATGATACGAGGAAAGGCCACATTAACAACACCATAAAGGTTGGTGTGAAGGTCCTCAAAGTGCCTAGCAAAAGAGTCACAACACATTCCCAGAAGGTTCAAGTCTGTGTGTACCGAAGCTGGTTTCATCAGACCATGGACCACTTGCTGAAGAGTTCTAAAAGGTAAAGATAAAGGACCCCTGACAGTTAAGTCCAGTCGCAGATGACTCTGGGGTTGTGATGCTCACCTCACTTTACAGGCCGAGGGAGCCGGCGTTTGTCCGCAGACAGTTTTCCCGGGTCATGCGGCCAGCATGACTAAGCCGCTTCTAGCGCAACGGAACACCAAAACCAGAGCAGCGCATGGAAATGCCGTTTACCTTCCCACCGGAGCGGTACCTATTTATCTACTTGCACTTTTTGGGCGTGCTTTCAAACTGCTAGGTTGGCAGGAGCTGGGACCGAGCAACGGGAGCTCACCCCGTTGCGGAGATTCGAACTGCCGATCTTCTGATCGGCAAGCCCAACAGGCTCTGTGGTTTAGACCACAGCGCCACCCATGTCCCACAAAGGAGGCAAAAGCCTATGGCACCCGATATTCCTAGGCGGTCTCCCATCCAAGTACTAACCAGGCCTGACCCTGCTTAGCTTTCGAAATCAGACGTGTTCAGGGTAGTACGGCTGTAGAATGAAGAGTTCTACCAAGTGGCTACTTTGGGATGTGATGGTGGCTATGAAGTAGACTTTATTTGCTGCCTACACCACCGCACAGGAGGCATGATTATCTATTCCAACTCGTTTGAAGGAGCCTTTGAAGTTCCAGATCAGGTTGACTGTCAGCTGGCCCCACCTGCACCTTCAAAGCTCCCCATTCTCAGGCAAGGAGCCTGCTGAGAATGGGGAAGTCTCCTCACCTGAGGGATGGTTGTGTCTGTGTTTTTATTTTGCTCCTTCCTTAGCACCATTCCCTCCTGGGACTGCACACATACAGAGTCAATCTTTCCCCCCTCCTTTGGGCTTCCTCCAACCCCCAAATGTTTCTTTTCTTTTAAATGTGTACCTCTGTCACTCTCAGTGTTGCCTCAAGCATGCCAATGCTTCCTTCTTGTGCATATGCTATGCCATTTTCTTTACATAAGTCACAGCACCCATCCTTGAACTTGGGAAACAGAGGGAATAGTCTCCAGCTATTACAAAAGGTTCATGAGACATGATTTCTATTCTCTAGCATCCGTGTATTATAACCAGATTTGGCTCTAAAGGAGCACAAAGTCCATGAGGTTCAGATTTATCTACCTCCTGGTCATCACATGAGAAATCTGAGAGTTGGCACCAAATGCAATTTATGCAAGGAAGAGCAGATAGCATTATACCTGTTCTGATTGTATTTGTTGTCTAATTGCTCTCACTAGCTCTTGGTTTTCTGGATGAATAGCTGGGTGGGCATTTCTGTTAAGAGAAAATACAGTGCATAATACAATGCTAACAAAAAACTTCAAAATCAGAGCTATACACAATGAAATTCATCTAGCATGTTCATAATTCTAAGATGTTCCAATTAACTGCAGGACAATGGCATTTTATGCAGTAGTAAGTCACTTGATCCAAACTTCAGTGCAAAATTCCTTCCCCCTGTCCCAGAGAGTAAGGTTAGTATCCAATGCTAGTCATACTATCATGAGTAGACCCACTGAAATGAATGACCGTGTCTACCTTAGGTCCATTATTTCAATGGGTCTACTCTGGGTAGAGCTTCATTAGATACAACTCTAACCCTATGTATTATTTTTTCTCAAAAAAATACTATTAGCACATAAATGGAAAGCTTTTAAAAAAATATTTGCGTGTTCAAGGCTACAATCTTACTCATTCTTACCTAAGAGTAAGTCCCACCAAGTTCAGTGGGAGTTACTTCTGAGCAGACATGCACAGGATTGTGCTCTAGGATGAAAGTAATGACATCATTCCCTTTTCCTTTATGTTAATGAATTTCTTATCCCCATCAAAGTATTCTGCATTAGTTTTCATCATAAATTAATTTTGAAAATGGGCTATCTTAAAGCTGAATTTTCAGTTTTAAGTAGCAGCAGCTATGGAAACAGAGAACTTGGGTGGGAAAATATCATAGTTTTATTATGCTAGTTAATGCTCCAAGCTAGCTAGGCTAAGGGTGTTAACATATACAATTTCTATGACTGGTTTTTCAGGTTAGGGTGTAGATATATAAATATATTTGTAACTCTGCAGTGCAAAGATGCTTTCTCTGTCTCCTTCCCCAATTTGGCTAGTGTTGTAAATATACCAAGTATGAGTAGCATGCAGGACTGGAGGTCCTCTCATTTGGCCCAAGCTCAGTAAAAGCTTTGTGGGTGAAGCGAGATTTTAATCAACCCTACTGACTTTCTAGTTTAATTCTTTGAAGTGCTGCTTCCAAGAATGTGCAGTCAAAAAACAGGTGTGTTGTATCATTTAAAATATTTTAAATTACTTTAAATATATATGCCTGACACATTACAAATACAGTACATTGTCAAGTGCTAACAGTATCTCACCTTAAAAGCATGTATGCCAGTGCAGCAAGGAATGTGATGCTGAGCACCACTGCCAGCAGGACCTGGTCACTTATTCCTTCGATCATTGAATCACTATCTAGGATCAATCTCTGAACTTCTGTTTCTTGGCTGGCCATTCCAAAGCTAGAATCCAGGAAAGACATGCATTCAGATTTATACATGTGCATAAAAATTATTCATGCTTAGCTCACATCTACAACTAAAAAGGAGTAGACAAAAAACCCGTGAAGTTGCCACTGGTCTTCAAACTTTAAAATCAAACTGTGTTCTGTGACAAGTTGGCACACTGGTAGATTTCCTCATGGCCAAACTCCATGTCACACATACCCTGCTACATTCTAGAATTCTAAAATTCCATGGGATTTCATGTGGTGACATGTGCTTAATGGATGACAATTCGGAAAATAGGCAGTGGGAATAGCCAATAGCCTAATGACACATAGTGGAAAGTATGCACTAGAAGTGACAAAAATCAAAAGCAGATAGACAAGCCATGTGAGACAAATACATATAATATGCATATATGCAGTATATGGCATTTATTATCCTTTAGAGGAGGCCAGTCCCATTTAACAGCTAGGCAGCACAGGCACAGTAATAAGGTATTAGTCCAAAATCAGTCAGTTAAGCTATGGCACAGAATTTTGAAGCAGAAATAAGTAGTAATGGTGTGTGCTTCGGGGCATATACAGAGTGCTTTCCCCCCAGCATTAAAAAGTTGCAGCCTACCCTGTCATCACAGAATTAAGAGGATTTCAGGGTAATGGTATATCTGCCCTATAGATTAAAGCTCCAGCATCTCCCTTGAAATTGAGTACTAACTCCACCTCCATTGCCAGACAACTGAACCAGAGAACACATACACAGTGTTCCCCTCCATACAATAATCCATGCTTTGTTTTCAGTTTTCCAGCAACTCTTCACAATAACATGCTCTTTCTCCCTCCACTTGTGTTACAGACAAGCTGTCCTTACTTGTTCTCCTTTCCAAACTCCTCCCCCAAAGTCTGGAAACTTAATTTGTGCTAAGACATCACGAGGGCTTAGCCCAGCAGTCTGTTTTCCATACCAGGTCTGAGTCCTGGGAAAGTACATCTGAGCATATGCAGACCACTTTCCCCTTCCCACTGAACAACCGTGGTCTCCTGTTTGCTCACATACTTAGAATTCAAATTCCTTCTCAATGGATGAAAAAGCCACTCCTTCCCAACAAAGTACAATAATGTACTTTCCCTCCCATTTTTATGCAATTTATCAATATATCAGAGAAGTTGATAGCAGACTGAATCAAGCACTTTCCTCATCCAAACTACTCCTATCTTCCATCCTGACCACTTCAATCTTCTGTTGCACCGCCAGCTGGCTTTTCCAGTTTTGGGAGGAAATTAGCTAATCGTAAATGCATTTAATAACACTGAGCCTTCCCCGTATAAGGAAGCTTTTTAATGTGTAATGTTTTATTATGTTTTTATATATGTTGGAAGCAGCCCAGAGTGGCTGGGGCAAAGCAGTCAGATGGGTGGGGTACAAATAATAAAATTATTATTAGTGGTAGTAGCAGTGGTGAGATGTGTAAATGCATTTAAGATGATAATTTTATGCCAATTTCTTTGCTTGCCTTCCCTTTTCCTTTTTATGCTTGCATAAATTGATTTTCAGGTAAGCTTCCCCTCCTCAAAGGACATAGCTGAAAATGCCAATGGGTAAATCCTTTTGTTTAGTGACATGACATTGACAACATCAACTCCTTCTATTTACCTCATCTGGAAGACTCAGCACCATGTCACTAGCAGCTCTCTTCAGGCCCACAGCAAATGTTTCACACACAGCATCTGAGAAACCGCTGTGCTGTGCCTGCAAAAAGAGAACATTTTCAGGCTACTTTTTAAAATATACTTCAACACAGCATATGTTTCCATTATTTTCGCACCTGCAGATATAGGCTTGAGTAATTTCTATGCCCACACAGAGTAAAGTGCAGCTGTATGTATATAAAACAAGTCAGGTCTGGATGGAACATGCTATTAAATCATCCCTATCCACTCAAGAAACATACAGAGGTGCAAACATTAAGAAATTGAGGTGAAATTTGATGAAAGAGCTAACATTTAAAAATATTAAGTTGGATAAACAAGTATCCACTTAATCTGTCTCTGTTTTGGGTCACTCTCCCTCTATCTCCAAGCAATTTGGGAAAAATGCTAGCAGTGTTATCTAGCACCTTTCTGTGCATGGCAATCATTCATGTTTGCCAAAATTCAGAAGACCTGTTAACTACTCCTCAAATATGCAAATCTGAAGTATGCTATTAAGTAATCAAGAACAGCTACTCCTTCGCTATGGAGCAAAGATGCTGTTGGGCCTAACCCATGGTTAGCTGTTGTGTGGGAAGTGAGATGAATTGCACTTAACCCTAACAGGGATGTGCTTGAAATAGGATCTGAAACCATGATTTCAAGTTGGTTAAAGAGGAACCACAGTTAACCCTAAACTACAATTGGGTTAATGTTACTACTGATCAGCTTGCTGAAGGTACATCCAGCAGGGGAATTTCATTTGAAAAGGAACAGAGTACGCAGAAGAAAATATGCACATAACCTGTGACTCAAAATATTTTGAGCAGTACTTGGTTAAGGTTTGCATCCAAGGAAAGGAGACAGACCAAAAGCAACCGCAGTCCCATCAGTGTTTACAAACATACATACATAGACTGGTGAGTGCTGATAAAAGCAGAAGCATTTACTTGTATCTAGCAAAACCAGGATGAGAGCTGCTACGAAAATCAAAAACACAACAAGAAAGCAGAGTGCAGGAGAGAAAAACAATTTTATTGCCTTTAGCAAATAGAATTTTTGAAGGCCGATTTAATTTACTGGCCCCACGGCAAAAAACTCAAGTTATTCACATTTTTTTTTTTTCCCATCGCTTCTTGAATAAGAACAAAGCACCACAAAACAGCTACATTTTAATTACAACAGATGCTTTTATTCTTGTGAGCAAAGTTTTCTTTCTTTTTTGAAAAAAAAAAAGCACTGAATTTTAAGGTCACAAAAGAACATGTTGGTGCAGATGTATTATTTCACTAGGCTTTTGAATAGATAGCTAATAAGAGAGAC